TTAAATTATATTTTTATTAAAAATTGTTTTTTGTATATTTGACAATTATTTTATATAAAGTACACATGAGCTTCCATGCTTTTAGTAATTTAAGTTATTAGTGAAGTCGTATCATCATGTAGGTAAAATATGAATAAAAAAAAATAATAATAATTAACAATTCCTTGCAACGACTTGACAAATAAGTTATGTAGAAAATATCTGCTGAAATTGCATAACTTTATCTAGGTTTTATTAAAGATCATATTTGCCACTTTAAATATGTGCATTAGAGATATATTTTTGTATGCACAAAATAGATTTATCATTAACTTTTTATTTTATTTTATATGTGCCATAAATTATTTTTTATTTGAAAGCCTTTTGTAAATGTTAACGTGGCTTCGTTTAGTACCGTACCAAACAAAAGAGGCTCTAACAGGATATGTCAATGGTGAATCTAATTTTCTACGCATTTTTAAAATAATTTTATTACTCAGGCACATCTTGAATTAAAAAGTGGTATCGCTTGAAAAAAACTGTAAATTATTCATTGAAAGGGGAAAAATGATTTGATTTTATCAGTCTTCATACAATCTAAGTCATCAGCATATTAATTTTATGATCCCAATAACATAAAAATAAAAGCTTTATGTGTATCTATGAATTACGGACAGCACTTCATTTATAAGTATGAATCATTCTGGTGTAAAATTTCACGTTACAGCGCGTTGAAATAAACATTTTTCAAACATGATTTTTTTTTAAATAAGATCGTTAACTATACTACTTCTTTGTTACTGTTGAATGTAGGGTACTTTACAATATCACTAATTTTTATATCACGTCAGCAACTGGGTAGAAAACAACGAAGCCACTTCAAATCAATTTTGTCAGTTTTAGTTACGAGAAAACTTTATACATATAAGAAATCTATTATTATTATTGCAGTAAAAACTTAGATTTGTATAATGAACCTCGCTCATTTCGAAGTAATTTAATGTAATACTGTCGTAGAACAAGGTTAATATAAAAAAATAAATAATCATATGTTTGCGTAACATGCAACAGTATTGTAATAAAATATTGAAGATATTAGTAATTTCGACAGTAGTGTGCACATATTTTAATATAATTTTGTAGAAATTCCATTGAAATAAAATTATTTTGTTAAAATACTAAATATGAAAGTGCGTGTCATCCATCTGAATCTAATAAATATCAAAGTTTGAATGTATCATGTAATGATTGATAACGGTAGAGAAAAATATAAGTATATTATATGTTAAAAGTAGATGTAACGATGCACTTGCAAAGCGCTCTTGCAAAAATTATAGACCTCGCCAAAACTGGTAAAGAACTCCCTTTGAAAAAAAAAAAATAATAAATAAAATTTTCTCATTAAAAATTGTAAATAAAATAAAAATATCTTACAGGGAGTGACGAAACTAAAATGGACGAGGTTGCCATGATGCTGGGCATAGCTGTTTTCGTACTTCACGCTCTACCAGAAGTCGTCAGTCCACCAAACTTACAGTTCCCATGTATAAACCACTTCCGTCTTGTCATTCAGTCTGAAAATATTTATGTAAGTTGGTGAGGTCATTATACATTAATATTTATTCAAATATAACGTATAAATTCTTTTTTTTTTTTTTCACAACCGTACAGATAAGACTCAAATGCGTGCAAACTCTAAGAACGATCTTTCTTCAACAAGATCGCAGTATAAGTACGCCTTACATTCACGCACTTGCTCCAAGAATAGTTGAGTACTTGTACAGTGATCAGAGCAAGCAAGTAACAAATGACGAGGAATTACAATTCACTTTGGAATGCATTACGACGGTCGATAGTCTCATCGCATTAGCAGAACCTACGCGGNTTCAATGTGAGTATAATAACTTTTCTTATCTTCTATCTTATCTTCTTAAAATATAATTTGTACTTTTGTACCATACTGTTACTGTAATATTTTTCACCATAAAATTTTATCACATTAATTATGTAGTATATTAAGTTAATCATGTCTATTTACGTGCAGCAGAATTTTTGAATTATGCAATAATATATTGATCCATGTAAATTAGATATTTAGTTCTAATCTTACACTTGCCCCAGCCATTTTGCTGCCACGAAATCCATTTGAGTAAGATCTATCTTGTCCACTATGACAGAATTTAATTTTTCTCAACCCTTTTCCATAATCTTTAAATTCGTGACAGAATTTAAACCACTGATTCATTTGATCTTTTTCAATAATTTTAGTATAATTCAATACTTCCATTGCTGTTCTGTCTGATTTTTGCTCTCTTAAGAGTTTAATGGTGCAATCATAAACTGCTGGTACATTAGGCCGACTACAAAACCACTCGCTGACCTTGAAAACAAGTAATAGTGAAAATTTGAAAAATGTATCGTTGGTTGCAAAAAACCTAGCAAGTATTCGTTCATCCCTTCGTCAATTAAATCGATTGTTTGTTCCATGCAACACCTTCCAAAAGATGTGACAAAGCAGAACTGTTTGTTTTCAAACACGGGATCAGCTGGCAGTGGTTTGACTCCTTGAGGAGGACACTCTATATCCCAGCCTGCTCCTCCATTGTCAGTTACTTTCCAGTATTTAAATAAACCTTCTTCTCTAGAATGATTTTTTACTAAATTTTTGTAAAAGGGCTTATTGGCACAAATGAAACAATACGCAGTCCATGGAATTTTGTCGGAAAGTGGCAAACTTTGACCCACTGTCAGTTCTGCTTTTTTATACCACACTCGATTTCTAATGAGATAACGCCAATGCCGGCAAACCATGTGACAATGAAGCAAACTTTTGGCATCCATTGCATAAAATATACTTAATAGAAGTTCGTCTGGAATTATTACAGAGTGTATGATGGAACCATTGATAGTGTCATGATCATCAATGGGACTGTGAACTTGATCCGTAAAACAAACTTTTAATTTTTTCTTTGGCTGTCAAATAAAGTTAAAAAAGTATCCTTTACATTATATTTCGAAATTCACGTTAGTAATCATAGTATTTTTAGATTTCTAACTTGCTTACCTGATGTGCTTTAATCATTTTATGTTTATTGTGTTGTTTTATTTTTTATAAAATGTATGTTACAAGAGTGATCTACAACTGATTTTATCATTCTAGTAAAGAGAGCACGGGTAAGATAAACGTCTACTAAGTAAGTGCCATAAGTCGATTTCATTAAACCACATAAGTGGAATATCTGTACTTTTGGAGGTCATCTTCCAGGTTAAAAATAAGTAGTATACTTGCCGCAAACAGCACAGAAAATGTCCACTTCTTATCTCCTATCTATGAAATTAGTTGCGGCTGGTTTATAATTGATTCAATGGATCTACTATAAGTTGTAATAATTATTTGGATCAGCGCCATCTAGCGGTCATGATTTATTTGGCCAAAAATTGCTTCTGAAATTCTGAAGGAGAGCTTTAGGCAGCTTAGCCTTAGAGCCATTTAATTAATTAAAAACCAGCCGCAACTTACATTGTAAATAGAAAATAAAAAGTTAACATCGATTGTGCTGTTTGCGGCAAGTTTGCAATTTATCTTCTACCAGAACATCGATTTTCTATACATTTATTCTTTCGGATAAAAGATAAATTTCAAACTTGCCGCAAACAGCACAAACGATGTCCACCTTTTATTTTCTATCTACAAAATCAGTTGCGGCTGGTTTATAATTTATTATATATCTCTAGGGATAAACTGCCTAAAGCTCCCCATCAGAATTTCAGAAGCAATTTTTGGCCAAAAAAATCACGACCGCTAGATGGCGCTGATCCAAATAATTATTACAACTATATAAACAACTTACAGTAATGCCATTATGCCATATAATCAATTATAAACCAGCCGCAACTAATATTGTAAATGTAAAATGAAAAGTAGACATTGTTTGTGCTGTTTGCGGCAAGTTTGCAATTTATCTTCTATCCGAACATCGATTTTCTGTATATTTACACTTTCGGATAAAAGATAAATTGAAAACTTGCCGCAAACAGCACAGAAGATGTACACCTTTTGTTTTCTATCTATAAAATTAGTTGCGGCTGGTTTATAATTAATTTAATAGATCTACTAAAAGTAGTAATAATTATTTGGATCAGCGCCATCTAGCGGTCGTGATTTTTTTGGCCAAAAATTGCTTCTGAAATTCTGAAGGAGAGCTTTAGGCAGCTTAGCCCTAGAGCCATTTAATTACTTATAAACCAGCCGCAACT